TTCCAAGATGAAGAGGAAGCATTAGTGAGCACTCTCTGTGTTCGTCCACTTAACCAATTACAGATCCACATCTGTTATAGAACTCCAATATGCTGATGACAATGCCATCTGTGCACATCCAGAAGACCTACAAGCCACTCTAAACACCTTTGCAGAAGCATACAAGAAGCTCAGTCTATTGAAGACTGAGAAAACCAAAGTGCTCTTCCAGCAGTCCTCAGCCAATCCTTCTGCAATGCCTGAAATACAACTTAATGGTATAACATTAGAAAATGTTGACAATTTCTGCTACCATGGCAGCCACCTCTCCACAAAAGTCTACATTGACACTGAAATATAACACCACCTGAGCTCTGCAAGTGCAGCATTTTTCCGAATGAAACAGAGAATGTTTGAGGACTGGAACATCCGTAGGGAGACCAAGGAGCTTATTTATAAAGCTATTCTCCTCCCAACCCTGCTATCCACCTGCAAAACATGGACTGTCTACAGACATCACACTCAACTCCTAGAATTATTCCATCTGCGTTGCCTCTGAAAAAATCCTGCAAATCTCTTGGGAAGACAGGCAAACAAATGTCAATGTGCTGGAAAACGCAAAGACCACCAGCATAGAAGTAATGGTCCTATGCCATCAAGTCTGCTGGACTGGCCACATTGTCTGAATGCTTAGTCACTGTCTCCCAAAGCAGTTACTATACTCCCAACTGAGTGTGGACTCAGAGAACCCAGTTCAAAGCAGATATTGTGGGTTATCTGCCTTAATATTTTGGAATATATGACAGTGTAGAAGGGCCCAAAGCGTCATATAAAACCTTTCCAGGTTAATTTATCAAAACAAACAGATGTGTCAAGCATTCTTGACTGATTTCAAGTAGAGCTTCATCCATGGATTGTACTTGTCTGTTATGTAAGTAGTGAAGGGCTCACTACTCAACTGAAAACCTTGTGGGTGGTCTTTTCTGTATTATGCCTCCCCTCTAGTCCCCTCTACTCTAAGAGCCCTTCCATAAAACCATATAGCCCAGAATATCAATGCAGATATTCCACATTATCTGCTTTGAATGAGATTATTTGAGTCCACACTACCATATAATACAGTTCAATGTGGATTTTATACCGCTGTGTGGAAGGGGCCTAAAATCTCTTGATTTTGTTAGATATATTTTAAAAGTGTGTGGCATTATTAAAACCATATATCTGCAGTAAACTGTCATGCTTGTAAAGGTTTAATACAAGTGTGTATTGTGAAACTCTTACACTTCCCAGTGAACTCGAGGTGACATTGCAACTGTTCAGCAGGACATATTGTTTTTATCTGTGCTATTGTGAGCTCTTAAGTTATAAACTGGTAATGTCTCCTTGTTGGGATTTACTGGTTACATGACAGATTTATAGCTAGAAACAGATGTTCTTCCCCCATAATAGCTATGCAAGAATTATGACTACTATAGCTCTGCAAAATTATCTCACAGAGTTGAAACAGGATACCTCATTATTAGAAATAGACACAACCCAGTTCTTGTTTTGTGCTATATTTTCCCAAAAAGCATGTTGTGATGAAAGTCACTTTCAGTTTCAAAATGTTTCCTTGGAAAACAAAATATTTTGGAAGAGACAGCCACTTAATCCTGTTCCCCTTTCATTAGAGATTGATCTTTGAATATATATCCATAGATGAGCTAATTTCTGCACCAGGGCTCTCATTATTTCACTCCCCAGTACATCATGAAATTGCAGTGGCAGATAAAATGATGGCACATTCCTTATTTTATTTTTCCAAGGGGAACCAAATCACACCATAAAGCTTTTTCACCAAGTTGACAGAAAGGAGAGTTCTGGGGACCCAGAGAGAAATTCTAAAACATTAAAGAGTTACAGTGGTAAGAAGTATGGAAGTTTGTATACTCAGAAGAGGCAGATTGACTGGGCTAGATGGACAAGAGGTCTGAACTCACTATAAGGCAGCTTATTGTGCTGTGGACTTGCGTGATTTAGAATGCTACACCAGACAAGCTCACAACACAAGAAACTGCCTTAAACATTTAACACAGTACTGTCAACTCTGGCTGGAAGCACTTCTCCCCAGTTTCAACCAAAATTGGTTTTTTAGCCCTGTCTGATGATCCCAGTTTTCCCCCTCCGGTTGTCTCCTACTTGTTCAAACACCTTCACTAGCTACCAGTCCATTTCTGAACAAAATTCGAGGAACTGGTATGACCTATGATGAATCTACTCTTAATTAATCTGGAATAAACTGCTCGAGAACTTTCCCAATGTACCACTGCAGCAGGGAATGTTTATGTGAAAACAGACAATATCTATCAAACCCATATGCTTAGAGATTGATCTGTTCTGTATTTTCTATCATATTAATTTATTTATTTAGGATCTACAGATGTTATAGATATAACATCTAAGTTTCGTAACAAAGAAAATAAAAAAGAAGCAGAATTATATTGTCAAAGGCTTTTCGCGACCAGAACGAATTGCAATGGTGTCTATAGAAGACAGTTTACCAACTAAACCTTATGGGGTTTGTCTCAAGAAATGAGTTGTATTTATATGTCATCATTTCCTTAATAAGATCAAGGTTATATACTATTTTATACTCAGATCTGGCTCAAAGTCACTCACTTAACATTTGGTGCATGCTGAGACAAAGAACATTTGATCCATATCATATTCAAGCATGCTTTCTCCTGGGAAGTTGCTTAAGCTGTGTCAGACTATTGACTTATCTGGCTCAGTATGTGCACTGTGCCCCCATTTTTGGTCATTAATTAGGGGGCACAGAGGCTATTGAAGGGGGCAGGAAGGGGATTTTGTTAATGAAAGAATGGACATAAAGACATTTCATAATAAAAGAGAAAGGAAATAGGTACTTGTGTTTGTATGAGTACAGTGGTTTGGTCTATATATGTTGCCAGGTTTTCAAAATAAAAATGATAGATAATCAAAATGTATGACATGAGTAACTGATAATTAGGAAACAGTGATAATAGAACTGATTAGTCTTGCAGGTGCTATAGGGCTGTTCTTGTAATCTGCCATTTCAGACATTTCCTTCCTGGCCTGTATGTTATTACTTAGAATCAAGTTGCCCATCAAACTACAAATTGGGTCATCAGGCATTACAACTTAATTTTTCTCCCTATTTTATGAAACTTGACTAGATATTTGCAAACATATTCAAAACAGAAAAAGGCTGACCAGAATATACAAGACAGGCATATAGAAGGCAACATCAAGTCCTCTAAGATGATGGTCTCTTGTGAGAACTCCAGGCAAGGTCCCAGATCGTGCAGGAACCTTCGAATACCTGCAAATAATGGGATGAAGGGCCAGACATTTACAACCCAGGAACAGAAATCATAATGTAGAATATTAACAAATGTACTGGAACTCTGGCTGGCTACAGACCAATCTCCTCTCCTGATTTGTGCTTTCTGATGCTAATGCATACTGGGAAATGTAGTTAAGGGCAGAGCCTTTTGATTTCTTTGGCATAGGCTCCTTCCCTTCCCAAACTACATTTCCCAGTGTTCTGTGTTGTTCCCAAAATGCACTGCTCCCACTTTTCACTTCTCCTCATGCCAAGATGCCATTAATTCCAAGGAGAAGAATGGCAAAGCAAGCAGGCTTTGCTTCCTTGGTTTAATGGCTTTGCTTCTTTGCACTGAATATGAAACTGACTTTGGGAGCCTTCCAAGATTTAGAAAGATAAAATGAAAAAGTAAGGGGTAAGTTTCAATTCTAAAATCTGTCATGTGGGCCATGGAAATGATTCAGATATGGCTTCTGACTTACAAAACAATTTTCTTACGAATTTTGACTCCTCCAGATTTTTTGCATATGCCTAATAAATGCTATGGCTTTAGGGATTGGAAGAGTGGATGATAATAAGTGGAGTGGAATGGCAAAGTGTGCCATTCTACTGGACAAAGTAAAAGATTATGATTAAATGGGTCAAGAAAACTGGCTGTGCTACTCTCAGGGTACTGAATAAAATGAAAACTGACCTATTTTTAGTCCTTTAACCAATAACTGGAACAGACCATGGGGAGTTAAACTTCTGTTAAAAAGAAAGACAACACATAATATTAAGGAAATCATAGTTGGTCATTTTCTCCGATTACAATAAATCATGAAAGTAAATGGCATAGATCAGTGATACATAGTGGGCTAGATACACAACATAATTAAGCACACGAAGGCAGAAATGTTCACCTAAATAGTGCAAAATTAATAATGCAAAAAGGAACATAATTGTGGATTTTTGGAGGGTAGAAAAATGTCTTGGAGAAGCACTAAAGAGGTTTCCCTATACATCCCTCTTTTACATACAGATGTGGGGAAAGAAATCTTCATTTACATTTCTTTTCTTGTGATTCTGTAACTTCCACCTGCATTCCCATTCCATCATTATTATTTGTTTGTGAGGTCTTTACTTTTTGTTCCTACATGGAAATTAATGCACATTAGCATGAACATTTTTCAGAATATATGCACATTTTACACAATTTGCCTAATGTATACATTGTTGTATTTATTTTCCTACTACCTGGTTTTCACCTCTCATTTAAGGTATTCACATTTTTTTAAAGTACTATTTCATTCATTCAAATATATGGATTTTTGAAACAAAGTATACTTTACTCTGCAACTAGTCTTGGGACATGCAAAATGGCAATATCAGAACCGTTTAAATTCACAATGAGAATGTCAAAATCTTTTTTTTAAAAAGGAGGATGGAAAAAAAGAATGGCAGCATCTTTAAGACTAATTGGCATTTGCATGAGCTTTCATGGATTTAGGCCCACTTCTTCAGATGAAGTATCTTTTTCCTCCCATTTTCTTCTTCCATTTTATGCTGCAAGAGATGAATATGGCTACGTTTTTGAAAACTATCGAAGTTACTTTCCATCTCTACTATTAGCATTAAAGGAAATATAATCTATTTGCTATATCTGGGGGTCATTTTTTTTAAATTTCCAAACAGACTGATAGGAGTCAAATGGTTTCAGCAACTAGCTCAGCAACAGTCCGCTATTTGTATCTTGCAAAAATTGTTCAAATTCTGATCTGGACCAAGCATGGATGGAATGGGCTGAAGGCAGCCGTTCACCACCCACATAGTCATTTTTACCCTTCAGTTATGCAAATGGTGGTTGAGAAATTTCAAAAGAACTCCTTCTTCACATTTGTTGTTATCTCGATGTCTCATGTATCATGTATATTGCATCCCTTTATTATATACAAAGTAAAAATTTCCACCAAAAATTGTAAAATTAGTAGGTGCTTTATAACTGTTTTGCATTGTTTGCCCACGTATCCTCCAAGATAGCTGTTCATGAATATATTATTCATGGTCTGCTAGACGAAATACTTTTTATGCTAAATTTTGTGCTGTGAAGAATTCTCTTGAGGATATTTTGAAAAATTTATCTCTCCTGAATTTATCTCTCCATAATTATAGGCTGGTCTTTATAAAGGTTAGTAAACTTTTAAAGGCTTTAGTGCATGATCTATTTTGTGTATGGCATTTTATTTTTTTAGAAAATCAGAAATAGCTAATCAACTTCTTTAGTTGATCTTTTTCATTTTGAATATAGAATTTGGAGCCAGTACCTTTCAATGAAGATTGTGATTAGTAGCATTGTAGTGTATGTGTCTGTCTGTTTTTGCTGTATTCTAAAGGCTATGATTAACATGACAAGACTGGATCTTGATTTTAACTATGAGGCGATATGAGATGTTGATGCTTATTGATTGTTATAAGTGTTTATCCTTTTAAATGCTTCTTAACAGTTTTAATCATGTTTTATGTATTGTATTGTGGTTGTGAACCGCTCTGAGTTGCCCTGAGGGCTGAGAAGAGCGATATAAAAATGTAGTAAATAAATAAATAAATAAATAAATAAGTATGGGCCTCTTCTTCTATACTATGCTGCTTTGGGGAATGAACTCACTATACCATTGTAGCCACACTATCATTTTTAGCAGATATTGCACCTTTCTTCAATATTGCATCTCTTTTCCATCATACAATTATGCCAATTCACCAAGTTGTGGTCCCATGGTCATACTTCCACATACCCTCATAACCCTGTCTTCATGTACTATCACTGTTCCTTAATTTTATTTTATTTTTACAGTTTTTGAGCAAGTCTAGCTTTTAGAAAGCCAAGAGAAAGAGGCAAATACAATTATTATGAATTATGAAATCTATATCTGTGTATATATAATAAAGAAGAGTGTTTGTTTGTATCGGACAGAGGAAGTGCGGCGGGAGGTGTATGTGGCAGCGTTCTGATTGGCTGCCGCTGTGGTGCTATTTGCATATGGTCTCTGATTGGCCAGCTTCAATAGGAGCCCCTGGTGGAGAAGAGGGTTCATGGCAGAAACGGGACATGAGAGAAGGAAATTTGCATATGGTCTCTGATTGGCCAGCCTCAATTCCAAGATTCCGAGATGACAAAGAGAGGAAAGGAAAAGGCCAGGGGCTGAGTCAGAAAATAACCAATACAGACCAAACTTGGCACACAGAGCCTGCAAGACCCACTCGACATCCTACTGCAATTTGGAAAATATGAACCATGGATGATGGGACTTGCAGTGCCATCACTCACATTCTGAGACCGCTGTTAACCTCATCCAATGACTGATCAGGACCAAACTTGGCACATAGACCTCTCATGACCCACTTTACGTCCTGGTGTGGTTTGGCCGGGGATGGACCATGGATTATGGGACTTGCAGTACCTTTGCTCAATTCTTGAGACCACTGCAACCCTCATCCAATTACCGATAAAGACCAAACTTGGCACGCCGAGTCTCCGTGACCCACTCTACATCCTGGTTTCGGCTTGGAGGAGGATGCACCATGGATGATGGGACTTGCAATACCCGCACTCCCTTCCTAAAACCATTATAACTGCCAACGATGATGGATCAGGACCACAATTTACACAGAGAGCCCGCATAACCCACTCTACATCCTGGTGCGGTTTGGAAGAATTTGACAATGGATGATGGGACTTGCAGTCACTTCACTCACTTCCTGAGACCACTGAGACCCTTGCCAATGACTGATCAAGACCAAACTTGGCACACAGAGTCCCCATGACCCACTCTACATCCTGGTGCACTTTTGAGGAGGACAGACCATGGATGATGGGACTTCAAGTACCTCCACTCCCTTCCCAAGACTGCTGCAACCCTCATCTAATGTCCGATCAAGACCAAACTTGGACACAGAGCCCCCATGACCCACTCTACATCCTGCTGCAGTTTGAAGGAGGATGGACTTTGGATGATGGGACTTACAGTACCATCACTCACATTCTGAGACCGCTGTTAAACTCATCCAATGTCTGATCAGGACCAAACTTGCCACATAGACCTTCATGACCCACTTTATGCCCTGGTGTGGTTTGGCTGGGGATGGACCATGGATTATGGGACTTGCAGTACCTTTGCTCAATTCCTGAGACCACAGCAACCCACATCCAATTACCGATAAAGACCAAACTTGCCACACTGAGTCTCCGTGACGCACTCTACATCCTGGTGCAGTTTAGAGGAGGATGCACCATGGATGATGGGACTTGCAATACCTGCACTCCCTTCCTAAGACCAATACAACTACCAACAATGATGGATCAGGACCACAATTTACACAGAGAGCCCGCATGACCCACTCCACATCCTGGTGCGGTTTGGAAGAATTTGACAATGGATGATGGGACTTGCAGTCACTTCACTCACTTCCTGAGACCACTGAGACCCTCGCCAATGACTAATCAAGACTAAACTTGGCACATGGAGCTCCAATGACCCACTCTACATCCTGGTGCAGTTTGGAGGAGGACAGACCATGGATGATGGGACTTCAAGTACCTCCATTCCCTTCCAAAGATTGCTGCAACCCTCTTCTAATGACCAATCAAGACCAAGCTTGGCACATAGAGCCCCCATGATCCACTCTACATTCTGCTGCTCTTTGAAAGAGGATGGACTTTGGATGATAGGACTTGCAGTACCTTCACTCACTTACTGACACCACTGCCACCCTCATCTAATGACTGATAAAGACCAAACTTGGCACACAGAGCCCCCATGACCCACTCTATATCCTGCTGCTGTTTGTAGGAGGATGGCCAATGGATGATGGGACTTCAAGTACCTTCACTCACTTCCTGAAAACAATGTTATCCAAAGACCAATAAAGACCAAACTTGGCATACAGAACCACCCATGACCCACTTTCTCTAATAACCCGGGCAACGCCGGGTCCCCAAGCTAGTATATAATAAAGAAGAGTGTTTGTATCGGACGAGGAATTGTGGAGGGTGGTGTATGTGGCAGCGTTCTGATTGGCTGCCGCTGTGGTGCTATTTGCATATGGTCTCTGATTGGCCAGCTTCAATAGGAGCCCCTGGTGGAGAAGAGGGTTCATGGCAGAAACGGGGCATGACAGAAGGAAATTTGCATATGGTCTCTGATTGGCCAGCCTCAAATCCAACATTCCGAGATGAGAAAGAGAGGAAAGGAAAGGCCAAAGGGGGCTGGGTCAGAACACTCCCAATACAGACCGAAATAGGCACACAGAGCCCCCATCACCCACTCTACATCCTACTGCAGTTTGGAGGAGGATGAACCAAGGATGATGGGACTTGCAGTACCACCACTCACATTCTGAGACCGCTGTTAACCTTATCCAATGACTGATCAGGACCAAACTTCGCACAGAGACCTCTCATGACCCACTTTACGTCCTGGTGTGGTTTGGCCGGGGATGGACCGTGGATTATGGGACTTGCAGTACCATTGCTCATTCTTCAGACCACTGCAACCCTCATCCAATCTATATCTATCTATATAATAAAGAAGAGTGTTTGTTTGTATCGGACAGAGGAAGGGCGGACGGGCGGACGGTGTATGTGCCAGCGTTCTGATTGGCTGCCGCTGTGGTGCTATTTGCATATGGTCTCTGATTGGCCAGCTTCAATAGGAGCCCCTGGTGGAGAAGAGGGTTCATGGCAGAAACAGGGCATGACAGAAGGAAATTTGCATATGGTCTCTGATTGGCCAGCCTCAAATCCAACATTCCGAGATGACAAAGAGAGGAAAGGAAAGGCCGGGGGCTGGGTCAGAACACTCCCAATACAGACCGAAATAGGCACACAGAGACGGATGGGTCAGAACACTACCAATACAGACCGAAATAGGCACACAGAGCCCCCATCACCCACTCTACATCCTACTGCAGTTTGGAGGAGGATGAACCATGGATAATAGGACTTGCAGTACCACCACTCACATTCTGAGACCGCTGTTAACCTTATCCAATGACTGATCAGGACCAAACTTCGCACATAGGACCTCTCATGACCCACTTTACGTCCTGGTGTGGTTTGGCCGGGGATGGACCGTGGATTATGGGACTTGCAGTACCATTGCTCAATTCTTCAGACCACTGCAACCCTCATCCAATTACCAAAAAATACCAAACTTGGCACACTGAGTCTCCATGACGCGCTCTACATCCAGGTGCAGTTTGAAGGAGGATGCACCATGGACGATGGGACTTGCAATACCTGCACTCCCTTCCTAAGACCATTATAACTGCCAACAAGGATGGATCAGGACCACAATTTACACAGAGAGTCCGCATAACTCACTCTACATCCTGGGGCGGTTTGGAAGAATTTGACAATGGATGATGGGACTTGCAGTCACTTCACTCACTTCCTGAGACCACTGAGACCCTCGCCAATGACTCATCAAGACTAAACTTGGCACATGGAGCTCTACATCCTGGAGCAGTTTGGAGGACGACAGACCATGGATGATGGGACTTTAAGTACCTCCACTACCCAAGATTGCTGCAAAACTCATCTAATGACCAATCAAGACCAAAGTTGGCACACAGAGCCCCCATGACCCACTCTACCTCCTGCTGCAGTTTTGGAGAAGGGTGGACCATGGATGATGGAACTTCCAGTACCTTCACTCACATTCTGAGACCTCTGCAAGCCTCATCCAATGATGGATCAACACCAAACTTGGCACATAGACCTCTCTTTACATCCTGGTGTTATTTGGAAAACTTTGGAGATGGATGATGGGACTTACAGTACCTTTGCTCACTTCCTGAGACCACTGAGACCCTCGCCAATGACTCATCAAGACTAAACTTGGCACATGGAGCTTCAATGACCCACTCTACATCCTGGAGCAGTTTGGAGGACGACAGACCATGGATGATGGGACTTCAAGTACCTCCACTACCCAAGACTGCTGCAAAACTCATCTAATGACCAATCAAGACCAATGTTGGCACACAGAGCCCCCATGACCCACTCTACATCCTGCTGCAGTTTGAAAGGGGATGGAATTTGGATGATGGGACTTGCAGTACCTTCACTCACTTACTGACACCACTGCCACCCTCATCTAATGACTGATAAAGACCAAACTTGGCACACAGAGCCCCCATGACCCACTCTATATCCTGCTGCCGTTTGTAGGAGGATGGCCCATGGATGATGGGACTTCAAGTACCTTCACTCACTTCCTGAAAATAATGCTGCCGTTATCCAAAGACCAATAAAGACCAAACTTGGCATACAGAACCGCCATTACCCACTTTCTCTAATAACCCGGGCAACGCCGGGTCCCCAAGCTAGTATAAAATAAAAGCAAAATGGTCACCTTGGGAACAGTAGGGGAGAGGAGAATCCTGACTCCTGGCATCACCAGCAGCATGCTAGGACAAAATTGGAAGGGACTCATCTCACTAATGGTGACTAGAAAATAGCATTATTGGGAGGTATTGATAGGTTTTGCTCATCAAAATACCTATGAATGGAAAAATCACAGGGAGAAGAAAATCCAGCAACAGAATCCACATGACGTCATGTTATAGGAACTGTCAGCAAAGGTGATGATCCAGATTCAATACCAGTTTTCCTACCTTGAGAAAAAATAGTACAAAATACCAGTCAAGTAGATGATCAGAATCATTTGGATACCCTTTTTAAAGAATTTCTAGATAATTTGGTCCTTACAAACAGAAAAGTGTTTAAAAGGTACTGTATAGGAGCCTCTACCCTAAATGCCCTTCCTGCCCTACCCCAATACAGGATTGTTATTGCTAATATTTAAGTGAATGTTTTCAAATCATATTTCCAGACAGTGATAGGAGACAGGACAATCTTACCATCTCAGCATCCTCCCATTTTATTTTATTGCATGTCAAACCCACTATATTAACATTATTAAAAAGCCCTCAAAATATGTTTTTCAAATCTAAATAATTAAGCAACAACCATTGCTAGGAGAGAGAAGTTGTTCTGCTCAATCTGAGGAAGAGTCAATGCAGCTAAAATAGGAACAAGTGTAAACACGAAGTTTAAAGTAAAGAGTTTAGAAATAATTATATTCATTATTCTCGATTAATATTGCAACAGCTGTCCTTTAAAAGGCAGCAAAATATACTCCCCGCTTCCAATTTTAATACAAGCAAAATAACATTTAAATAATTTCTCCCTTGTCAATCAGGAACAAGCTTTTTATCAGAGAAAGCAATGATTTTACCATTATCATGTAACTGTTCACCACAATATGATCCTGATGTATACCCTCTCAGCTATCAAAATCGTCTATAAGCTTCAGCAAATTTAGCTGCAGGGCCCTTAATGTTACCTCACTGCCTAACTCCCCAGCTGTTCATGCCATCTGTCTGAAATTCAACCCAATGGAAGCAGAAGGTTGCTAAAAGGGACGTTCACTTTTTGTATTTTTAGTTGTTTGTCATTTTATTAGCTAACAGCTCCATAAATGGAATACCAAGAGGGCCTGAGCGACAGTGCCTGGACAATGACAATGCTTGGAAAGCAGCTAGATGTAGGCTGCGAAACATTTCAGAAATGCCTGGAGGATATATCATTTTAAAAAGGATTTGGTCATGTCAAAGAAATAAAGCATCTGGATTTACAAATTACAAACTTGTGATGCACACACAATTGCTTAGAGAAGATATAGAATGATAAAATAAACTTACATCTCAAAGTTGATTCATACTTTATACCAGTTTGCCCACTAGTATTTATTTATTCATCTATTTATATTTATTTACTGTGAGCTGGATCTAAGGATCCCAGCAGCAGGATTAGGCATATTGAAAACGAACAAGACAACTATCACCAGTTTCTCTTTCACTCTTTAAAGTCTATTTGTGTAATTAGAGTATTTTCTGAAAAAGCATGGAAACTGGCACAGGAGCCTGCAAGTGGAAGGAGATGTTGGGCAAAGTTAACATACCTTAGCCCTTTATTGAGTAGCGGTTTTTACAGGAGCAGAGAACAGGAAACTTTGACGTTGTAACTCTTATGGCCGCGATCCTACAGTCTATCCCTTTCAGCTCCCCATCCTACTTGTTCAATACTGGGGCAGATTATTATGGCCAATTAGAGGCTGGAGGAAATAGAGACCTAGGTAGCATCTAGCTGCATTTCTTCAGCAGGGAATGCAAAGATGATGTCACATTCCAATATATTTCTGAACTTGGAGGATTATACTTTTTCTATGCTCCCAGTTATGGGACTATGGTTAGATGCCACCTGAGAGTCACCATTCACTTCATGGTGAAGGAAAGTCTCATCATTGAAAGGATCAATTGCAGAGATGGGGAGGCATTTCACAAGTAAATGAATACTAAATATTTTCTAGCACAGTGGCCTCACAAACTCAACATATGGAGGCATGCCTTTGATTTGTCCTTGTCCATGTCACCAACAAGGTTCCAGCCATTGTTTCATCACAACCAGGGACCTCATAATACTTACCTTAAACAGTGTCCTAGGCTGCTTCTACCCCATCTTCAAGCTGGAGCCCCATGATGGGCATCACACAATATTGTGTGACTTCTGGTGGAGGCCCCACCCCAACTGGGATGAAAGCATCACTGGACCCTATCTCCCCAACACAAGAGCCAGCATAGGGCCTCTCTGGGATGGCAATGGTTTCCCCATGTGATGGAGAAAGAGTCACTGAGAGGGAGGAGGTCAACAGATTCACCCTGCTGCTCCATTCTTTTCTCGCAGAAGCCATGTGAAGCGGTACATTTTGTCTGACCTTTCTGATGAGGTTGTGTGCAGATCATGAGTTCATTACATTTTACACCTGATGTACTTTTCTATCAAGAGCAGTAGCTGGAGTTTATTTACTTTTTTCTTATTCATTTATTTAAATGTTTGCTATCTCCTAGGTGAAAACCTCATAAGGCAACATACAACCTTAAAACCATAAAACAAAATAAAACAATAAAACATCAGAACATAAGAATTAAAATTAGAACTATGTCCACAAGAGCACTCAATAAACTATCTCAATTATAAACTAAGTTGAGTAGGTGCATCTAGGGGGTACATTTGAAGGTCTATAATGATGCTGTCGACTGGCCATAAATGGGAGGAGAATTCCTGTAAGGACATACTAAGAAGGTTCTGTTCTTTCTGCTCACCACTCTGATTGTCATTACAGACAGGCAACCAACTAGGGCCTCTGAACCCAAGCCATTTTGTGTTTTAAAAGTTTGCACAATTACTTCTCATTCACTAGCAACTAATGCATCTGGAACAATGTAGATGTTAAGTTCTCTGACCATTTAATATCCTCCAGTAGTCAAGTGTCCTCATTCTGTATCATTTGAAGTTTTTGAACCATCTTTTGAGAAAGCTCCATAAGAGCATGTTACAGTAATCTAACCTATATTTTAATAAATAACTGAGGCAAGGCACTAGGTCTATATGGACCACATATCCCAGATCTGGTCAGAAATCACTCCTGGGTGTCCAAACATTGTCCACAGAATTCCGGCCCCTAACATGGGGAGAAACCGATAATTTAATTTTACCTGGCATTAGTAAAAGTCAGAGAATGCTCCAGAGCTTCCTTGAAACTTGGATTAACAGCTGGGCTGTTTCTGATTGAAAACCAGTTCCACTGTTCACATGGGCCAAGGCTGACATCCCATTTGCCCCATGCTGTGCAGCATAGGGAAAAGGAGGTCACACTTACTGTTGTCATTATTTGTTACTGCAGCCATAGAAATCCAGAAAGCTACTGGCAGTTGCTGGGTATCAGCAAAAGTACCTACTTTACTTGTAGGAAGGAGAAGACCCCCCCCACACACACACACACATAACACACTCACAATTCCCTCTCCTCTCTTCACAGGTGTCCTTACTGACATCGGTGAAGTGCCCAACAACAATGCAGCAAAGACTGATAAGTTTTGATCCAATTGGATAATCAGGATTTCAATCCTACTGTTGCCAGTTTAAAAGTGGAGAGGTGAAAACAAGTCCTCAGAATCTGGGGTAAGTTTGAATAAAAAATGCAGTGATTTCAGCCGTGCCCACGCACGGCTATTGCCCCACACCGTGAAACATCACAGCTTCCCCCCTGCCTCATCACATGGAGGGAAGCCTTCTTGAGCTGGCTCAACCCATCTTTCCTAATGAAAAGATGGGGAGCCATTCATCGAACACTGCCAGCAATTTGGTGGTGGCAGGGTGTTTGCCTCCGTTCAGCCCTGGAGCCACCCTGGAAGTAATTTTCTGGGATGTGATGGGAGGCATTAGGCTCCATGCCTGAAGCCAAAAATAACCAGTTGCCACTGCCGAATTTTGGACTTTGTAAAGACGTCTTTGATCCTTTGAGGGAGAGCAGCCCCTTCTGACTTGCAAATTTCTATCAAAAACACAGTTTATTTGCCTATTGCATCATATTGGCATCTTAAATGGATTAATTTTTTTCACTCATAAAATATATGACCAGATCTTTAAAAGATGCTTTAACTCATCCAGTTCAATCTTTTCCTTGAACATTGCTTAATGAATTACGTTTCAAGTTAGGTGTTAGTAGATTGCAATCTAAATTTTTGTGTACTTTTCACAGTAGGTCTTCTTTGTACACTCACTTTCTAATCCATTAGTATTGCTTATAATCAGCCTGAAGCAGCTAAACCCAGATGAGAATATGATTTATGACTTTAAAATTTTGATTCTGTACAAATATTATGACAGCAACTAAATATTTAAAAATATTAGTGAACTGTATGATTTTGCAAGTTTATCAGTAATAAATATTCCTTCAAAATTCATGTGCAAAACCAATTTCTTATTTGCTATTCCCTGGTTAGAAATATTTATCACCCAGTTGAAGATGAAATGAAAATATGTGACTTGAGTAACCAATCACTACCCAGAAACAACACATGTAATGAATAGTCAATGGGAAGCATTTGTGAACATTTTCTAATTTGAAAATAATTCACCCGCACTCTGAAAAATAATTCCCCTTCAAATGAAACCGAAATTCAGTATAAATTTACAAAGCAAGAAGCAATATAAATACTATCTCTAACAAACTATTTGCTATTTTTAATCATTAAACAGACACTTTTTCAGAAGGAAATCAAATGAAATACATTCTTGGCTTTTCCATACAAACCATGTCATTGCTGTCTACTTTTAAAATGCAAGTGAAAACATGAGAGCAAATATGAAGGAAAGATTAGAACCGAGCTTTCCAAATGGTGCGCCATGATATGTTAGTGTGTCAGGTGTATCATGTGAACAAGGAATTTAAAAAATCTTGAAAATGTATGTTATTATTTTATAAATATATAAAGTTTTTCATGAGATACGTTGTTTCTCCATGCATTTTGTTATTACAATTTATGAATGTGTCCATATCTTTATAAGCGGTTGGTTTAATCTCTGGTTTGCTAGTAAAATAGAATTACTGAGCCTAAAAAGTGTGTCACCAGCATGGTATGTTCAAAAAC